CCCCAAAACCCCAAAACCCCAAAACCCCAAAACCCCTACCCAAATTATAATAATTGAACATACAAAGTATTAATGGGTTGTGGAAACACTCGTCAAGTGGGCAATGATGTTGTCAAAGTAGAAGATCTCCCTGTGCATAAAGAGAAGATCAAAAACAAGTACTCAATCGTACCAAAACTAGTCAGAAGTGGTAAGGATACCTTCTTTGTGCATCTCAAGAAACAGTTAATTCTTCAGTGTATCAACTCTTTACTATATGGAATATTAATTCAACCGGAATTCAATAAATTTTTCAAAATCAGAATTCCTTTCTTTTATCAATAGTCTTCGCATGACCAATATTTTTGAACATTTTAGGTCAAATTGACGATTAGGGCAAAAATATAACTAATTTATATAGGAATTTACGGTGGGGTCTATTCAGCTACAAGCAGAGAAAATCCTTCCCAAAAGGTGTCAATCGAAGTGATCAATAAGATAAAGAATCTTAACACTAAAGATGAGCTCATGAGTCAGATTAAAAAGCTTAAGAAGCTCAAGCATAAAAATCTGGTGAAGTACATTGAGTCTTATGAAAATGAGTATAATATTTATCTCGTAATGGAGTCTTATACTGGTGGGGACCTCTCTCAGGTTATTACTAAGAAAGCTCGCAATGGAAAGAAATTCTCAGAAAGTGAAGCAAGGAAAGTTATCTCCTCAATTCTGGAAGGCTTAAAGTACAGCCATTCGAAAGGAATAATATATGGAAATATTCAGCCATCTGATATTCTGTTAGATTCTCAAAACGAAGTAAAGATGCCAGGAATTGCAAATTCAAATTCTTCTGGTAGTCATTTCCTGTCACCAGAAATGAAGAATGGCGTGAACCCCACTGCTGCTTCTGACATTTGGAGTGTTGGTATAATCCTACACTTGATGCTGACAAGTAGATATCCCTCATTCACAGAATCCTCTAAGGTTCAAACCAAATTGCTGGATAAGGTGTCCGAAAAGGCAGTAGAAATGATCAAGAACATGCTAGATCAGGACCAGAAATGCACCATTAAACAGCTACTGAATCTGCCTTGGATGATATCTAATCTTGAAGATGATCCTTTATGAAATGATTTCGTTGAATCTGACTTTGAAAGCGAGACTACGCCTCTAAGAAAGCCTCAGTCTCAACAGAGGAAAGAAGCCTCTGCTCCAATGTTCTTCAGGAACCACACAGAGAGAAAAGCCAAAAAGCAAGGAAGCTATGAAACTATTGAAACTGATAAACTTTTCGCTGAAACAGAAGATGCTACTTCCATTCTCACCACAACAAGGAAGCATGATAGACAGGATGAAGAAAGAAGGCAAAGAATTATGGAAGAAATCTTCGATGATTCCTGATCATTCAAAGACTCAGAATTCCATAATAATTCAAAAATTTCCGACCAAGAGTAAAGGAAAATAATCAGCTAATTAATTATATAAAATGATCAATTAACCCTTCGTTCCAAATATTTTCAGATTTTTGTGGATACTTTTAGAAAACAGGGATTCTCAAGAAATAGAAGGAACAGAGCGACCTTGGATCCTAAAAAGCAAATTCAGCTTTTTATAAATATGCTAACGATTTTGTAAAGAGATATTGGGTTATACCAGATCTGATTGTTTTCCTATTTAGCTCCCACTCTTAAGTGTTGGGGGTAGGCTAATGAAGAATTGCCCATAAGTGTAAAAGTTGAGAGAAATCATCTGAACTTGTGCTCTATATACTGACTTATAACAAGTCCTTTGATTTCCAGAATTATGAATGGAGGGACTTATTGAAATAACCTTGGGCTAAATTCCTAACCAAATTTAAGCCAGTAAAAAAGCCCTCAGGAGGCGAGCATGGCTAGAAGACCTCGCTATTGCAGGTTTAGAAAACCTCTTAGTTGATCTCTCATCAATATCAATTCTTAAATATGTCAAGTCATTTTCTAAAGTTATGTAATATTATTCAAAATTCATATTTAATCAGCAACATAATGGAAGTTTTTGCCATTTATATGGAAAGTTCAGAGAGACAGCTTTCAGAGAAGATTAATTTGCTATAAAATTACCAACATAAAGAATAAAGGACATATTGATAAGTTCTTAAAAATAAGATTCATCTTCTTTTTATAAGAAAATTTGTACAATTCACTTAAATCGTGATGTAATTTAACTGTTAGAGCTTACTAGAAAATTTCATAACTATGGCTTACCATTTTAGGATTAAAATTAAGCAGAGATGATTTAATTTAAGCAAGGCCGGAATATTCTAAAATTGAAGTTCTTTACCCTCTACTATTGCTATCTTACGTACAAATTTCTAATTATATCCAATTTATTCATAGACTTACTTCAATATCTCGATAAATGGAACTTCTTAAGAACTTCTCTGTCTTCGATCTCACTAGTCTTGTTCTCATTGCTAACTCTAGGTGTTCTGTATCCTTAATTTATATAGTACGCTGGCTTCATCAACAATTAATTAGTTGATAACTTTGATTAAATTTTAAGAAATTTAAAAGAAATCAGCCAAACAATGCAAATAAGGGGTTTTGGGGTTTTGGGGTTTTGGGGTTTTGGGG